GGAACCATGAATAGTGCTCGTCGTCGTAGACCCAGAAGGCGTCCTCATCCGCTTCGAGGAAACCTTCGGTGCCATCTTCCTCGTCCTCGACCCAGTAGCCTTCATGATCGTTCAAATATCCTTCATCGATCACAAGGAAGGTCTTGCGGCCACCGTGGCCGGAAGGAGCGAGGAGTGGATTGTCGACGGTAGTCTTGGTCGTACAGAAGATCTCCAGGTAGACTTCGCGAAGCTCGGCCGTGTTGTAGTCAGCCAGGACTCGGTTCCGATGCGCCATCAGTGATGTCAACACCTGACGCTGATCCTGTGTCAGATCAGACAGGGACACAAAGATCAAAGCGACCAGGTTGGGCGTGATCGGAATGGTCCGAGCATGCTGCTCTCTGAGCCGTTCGTTGGCTCTCTCCATTGCCTGAGCTGGCGTAAGGTTTTCTTGTTCTTCTGGAGGAAGTCCTACTATGAAAGCTCTGACCTCTGCATTGTTCGGGTCCTCGATCGGCAGATAGGTATCGTTCCACGCTTCTTGCATTCTCTGAACAGAGAGTTGAAACCTGGTAATCCAACGAAGCATGTCTCCGTTCCCACGGTGCATGTTCATGAACTGCTGGAAGCGATAGAGAAAAACATTCGCTGCTCCCTTCACGAAAAGCGGCCGCAGGAAACTCTTGAAGTACTTCACTCCGTTGTTCGGGTCCTTCAGGCGATCTCTGTCGAGAAGTCTCTTGTGGATTGCTGCTTCACCTTCTAGCCGATTTCTCAAAGCTGGTCCACGCTTATCATTGTCTAGCTCAGTAATGTCACACCAGTCATCGATCGCATCTTCATAGGCAAACCAACTGCTTCTACCATCATAAGATGGAGGTACTTTGGTGGTCACCTGCTGGAAAGCTGAAAGACGGTGTAATTCATTGAGATGACGATGATTAGTCGCGAAAGATTCATTTCCGTGGAGGAGGTAGTCATCATCTCCTCCTTCATGCTCAAAGATAGTCGCAGAGTGGCTAGCCATTGCGCTGTTCTTGGATCGAGCCCCGGGAGAAACCTCTTCCGGTTATCTTCACCTGAGTGAAGTGTGCCGGAGAGACTCCGGTCACCTTCACCTGAGTGAAGCACACCGGGTATTCCGGTTGCCTCCACCTGTGTAGAGAGTACCGAACGGGTACCTCCACAAGTGTGAAGCTTCCCGTTTCCCGGGAGCTCCGCTACCACGTTGAGATGTAACCTGGACGTGTATCCCCTCGCTAGGCGTACAGGAACACAGGCACTCAGGTGTCTCTTTTGCTACAGGCGCACAGCTGTAGTCCACTGCACTAGAACCTTGAGCAACAGGCATGGATACATGCAAGTGATACGTGAAACAGACAGGCACCTGGATGTGTAACATTCAGTGTTTCACCCCCTGCCCTCCCCCCCCCCCGGTGGCTCTCAGGAGGGAGCTGCGCTGCCAAGGTCACGACTTTTGACTGGCCTGCCGCAACTCAGAATCACGGGAGGTAGGGTTTAGGGGTTAGGGTTTAGGGTTGAGGGTTTAGGGTTTAGGGGTTTTTACCCTACCTTGGGACCCTACACGACTAAAGGGTCTAGAAAGTAGATTCCTGAAAGCCCTCCACAGGGGTCTGGGAATGAACCAGTTCCGGGCAGAGCAGATCTCTGTTAATGTCGGGGCCTGAAGAATTAAAGCAGGGTTCTCTGGAAAGGTTCCTGAACAGGGTTCTCAATCTATAAGTGTTTTCAATGATTAGGATGCTGAAAGGGCTTCACAGGGGCCTTAGTAACTAGAACAGGGTTTGGTGGCAGATTATAGTATGTACTTAATCATACTTATAGAAAGAAGCCCAAGGAAAAGCATTACAGTAATCATTCAGGCTTCTATGTTAGTCGCTCCCCGCCGTACTATTCGTATTCTGCCGTTTGGCTGCATCCCTCGGCGCTTGTTTACAAACCCCTGCTGGGCTCGCAGCGCCCTGGCGTCGGGATTACTGAGCGAGCCAGCCAGCCAGCCAGCCAGCCAGCCAGCCAGGCCCCCACAACTTGAAGGATGACATCAGTACTTGGAAGGGCAGGGGACTTAGTAAGTAGGTTATAAGTAGGGTTATGATTGGGGTAACTCCATTTAGGGTACTTATAACTCTACTTGTAACCTACTTACTAAGTCCCCTGCCCTTCCAAGCAGTCAGTCGTTGCATGCTTTGGGGGGGGGGGGGGCATTTCTGAACCAAAAGGCTCCCAAAAACTCGGTGGCATCGAAATATTGGAAGGAGGCAGTTGATAGAGCGACCCTACTTCCCCAAAAGAAGTGTGTGTCTAGGTACGCCATACTCTACAAGGATCCCGAAATCCTAAACCCTAAAACCCTAAACCCTAAAACCCTAGACCCCAAGGAACAGGATCTGTATTTATTCCGACCAGCCCCTTGGGACTTCGAAGGCCCGCTCCACTGGGTAAGCCTTCCCGGGTTACGGAGATGGGATGGAATCTGATATAGATCGTATCAAGTTGATAGCGCCGAGTTTGATAAACCCGAAGCCTAAAACCCCCCGAACCTATAAAGCCCAAACAACCTAAATTCCGAGGTTTCGCGGAACAGTCTTGAACCACAAATTTCTGGACAAAATATGACCTGCACCCTGCAGCTGAACCATGAAAGCTCGGGAGTAATTCAATCCCTTCCCCTTTCCCTCCCCTTTCATGGCTCGACTGGTGCTAGGAGCTGCAGAGTTTAGGGTTTAGGGTTTAGGGTATTTTGGGGGGGCTCCTTATTACTAAAGTTATACTATAATGGGCCCCAAAACCTATTCTAAGTAGCCCGGCGCCCAACAGCCTCATGCGACTCCAGGGATTTACGGCCTTTACTCTTGGGCCCCAAACTGAGAAAGACATTGTTGAAGGACACCGAAGTGCACGAGCTGTCCGCCTACACTCCCGGCGCGGCGCGGAGCCTCACAGAGAAGGATAGTGAAAGCAAGAACCCAGACCTCCCGGAGGATCCAAAAAGTAGATCCCTTAATGGGGGTTCCTATAAAGTACCCTGAAATAGTAGTATAGGGCCCCGAATTAGGGGATCTACTTTCTAGATCCTCCCGGGGTCTGGGAAACTGAGGTTAGCAAGGTCTGCAGGGTCTCACTAAGAGAAGGAAACCTCCTTTGCCAACCCGGGGTTCGAATCCTGTAAAACCCCCAACCCTAAACTTAGCTTGACCCTGCATCTCACTCTAGTGACTCTAGTGACGTGGATGTGGCTTATGCTACGGAAATCCATCGCCGCACAGTTATTCGACTCAAAAATCTCAGCCCAAACATACCGCAAAACTCGACCATCCACGGCTTTAGGGTTTGCGGTAGGATTTTAGGGCATAAGACGTTCGGGTTTAGGGTCTTAGCGGCTTTATGTAGGGCTTTAAGGCTCAGGTTGCTTAGTGCTTCCGTCTCTTTGTCATTCCACTGCTGCTTTGTGCCGGCTACGATCGTTACAGCTGCTGCCCTCCCTGAGTTCTGATTGTGCTTGTCACTAGTGCTTTCTGCTCCTATTCTAAGGAAGTCATAGAATTCTGAACATCTTCAGACTTAAACCCTAGCACTTGGAAACCCCCCAAACCTTGTAAACCGGAAGGCATACAAGCCCCTAAACCCTAAAACGCTGAAAAAAAAAAACCTAGAAACCCAAAAACATAGTCTCGGCTCCTTAAAACCTGCGCCCCGCAAGCACCATAGTTACCCTCTATGTAGTCATGCTCATCGATACCCCTGTCAGCAGGCAGATCATCGGATGGGTGCCCGCCAGCTGCGTGGCTTCAACCACGAAGGAGATGCAGCTGCCACGCGACACACATCGCCAGATACAAACCCAGTTCGTGCAAACATCCTGCTGTTGTAACCAGGAGGGCCCAAAACCTAAACCCTAGACCCTAAACTTTAGGGCTTTAAGTGTGTTAAAAAGCCCCACCCTGGACCCCAAAACCATGAGCCTACACAGTGACAATGGGCCGCTCCAGGGTACCGGGCCTCGTCCACGATGTCGAGAACTTGCAATCCCCGGCAGTCCATGACGGCCTCGGGTTGTTCCTTCTGGGGTTGGGACAAGACTAGGGTTCCCTTAAAGGGTCTACAAGGGTCACTATATGGGCTACTAGAAGGGCTCTATATTAGGGGCCTCAATAATTACCTATATACACTATTTTGGAGGCTGCACCGAGACGAGCTGCCTTTTCATGGGTTTAGGAAAGGCCTTTGAGGCTCCGAGGCCCAGGTTGCTTCTTCCAGCAATTCCAGCCTCCATCCCATCCCAGACCTAAAAGCAATGAAATTGCGAATAGCCACTGCAGCTCCGGCAGTCGCAACAAAAAGGTCATGTTCTTGTTTGTGTTTGCTTGGAATGTTCCGTTTCTTGCAGAGGGCCGCGCACACGTGAATGAGAATGAAGAAGCAGAAGCAGAAGAAGGTCATCATCATCAGCAGCAGCACCATCAGGTGCCGATGCCGGTTGCGCTTGGAGGGGCGGCGCTGGCGAAGAAGTCACAGATCAAAATGACGAGTCACTTGGCTGGGCGAGGACGAGGAGTAGGGCCACGAGATAACAACAATGACGACTCACATCGGAATCAACAGCAGCACTCTTCTTCTTCCACTTGCTTCACCAGCTCTTACACCATCCATCATTCATGTGAACTCGAAACTCAAATCCTGAACACCCTAAACCCCAAAAGCAAACCCGGGAAAGCCCAAACCTGAAATCCCAGACCAACTGGCCCTGGACCCGGAACCCTAAACCCTAAACCCTATACCCTAACCCCTAAATGTAAATCTATGAGTGTCTGCAAGCAGAACGACCTCCTGTCAACCCCTTGATTCAAGGACTTGCGTCGTCCGAAGGCGCATGTGTTTTGGCTTCAGCAAAAAGACCGTCGCGAGTCTTCAGAAGCCCTTAGTTCTAGATTGGTAGCGGAGCTTCGGCTCGCTGCCGGGGCTCGTTTTCTGTAGTTGCGGTTTTGACCGTCTTCCGCATGAGTGCTCCTCGTCTTGAGACGTTTCTAGATGGCGGTGATGTCCCCGCCCCCGAAGACGATTCTCCGCAGGGTGATAGTGATGGCGGTGACCGTGATCGCGCAGGCCGTGTTCCCGAGCAAGTCGTCCGTGACGATCGTGCTTGGGCTGATGAAGACAGCGCCGACCATTCGTGGCGCGACGGACGCACCAGTCCATGGAATACCTGGAATGGAGGCCAGCACAGCTGGTGGGGACATTCCTGGCAAGATGGCTCTTGGAGAAACGGCTACTGGGTAGCCAACTCAAGAACATCATGGGACTGGAACAGACAGCAGAGCCAAGGAGATACCTGGACTACAGGTTCTACGGGGCCTGGCTCTTCCGGCAGTGAACCTGCCGCTCCAGTGCGAAGCCAACGAGACCTACCTCGCGAAGACGATCCTCCCGAATGCGATGAAGACCACGAGGACGGTCGCCACCCCTCTTGGTGGAATGAGGATCCGCCCAAGGCAGAGCGCCGTGAGCGCCCTTCGAAGGCAAGCGTTGATGAAAGTGTTCGCGGGCCTTCGGAAAAGATGACAGTTCCTTCTTTTGCTGGTGTCATCGAGGGCGAAGCCGAGGATCTGGGAGCGAGCGCTCGCTCCTACTTGCGCCAAGTCAGCGCTTGGCAGCGGATCACTCGTGTTCCGAAGGAGAAGCAAGGAATCATCCTCTACCAGAACCTTTCCGGAAGAGCATGGATCGAGGCAGAAGGCCTCGACGTCGATCGGCTTGCAAGTGCCGACGGTTCCAGCTACTTTGTCGACTGGGTGAAGGACCGATATTTGGACGTTCAGGTGACCCAGGTCGGCCGCGCCTTGTCCGATTTCTTCAGGCGCCTCAAGAGGCGGAATGGCCAGGCCATCCGCGACTACGTGGGCGAATATGACCGCGCTCACGCGCGGCTCCTGGAATGCGGGTGCAAACTACCAGACATTGCAGCTGCTTGGGTGTTCATCGACCGGATGTGCTTGGAGGAGGCAGCAGAATTGAATCTGTTAGCCTCCGTAGGCAATGTCTACGATCTTCGAAGACTACAACAAGCAGCTATAGTGCAAGACCGTGCACTCCGCAAGCCCTGGGAGACTACCAAGAACGACCGTGGAAACAGGTGGTGGCTTCGCTCCAAGCCCCAATCGGCTCTTCTTGCCGAGGTATCTGAGGGCGAGGAGGCTTCTTCACAATGTTCTGAACTACCTGAAGATGACTGCGTACCAGAAGAAGTAGCCATGAACCTCTACGACGCCTTTATGACGCATGAGTCTGCAAAACATCAATACAGAGCCTCCCTGAAGATGAGGGGTTCAGATCCTGATGCTTTGAGGTCCATAGCTGCCGAGAAGCTCGCCGCAGCGAAAGCGCGCTCCTACTGTTCCAAGTGCAAGCGAAAAGGGCATTGGCACAAGGATGCCATTTGTCCCCTTAACCAGGGGACGGCAGCAGCAACTTCGACCTCCGCGACCTCGGGATCAACCACAGCCCCTTCCTCTGCAAGCGGCGGGCCTGCAAAGACTGCTTATCCTTGCACTCATGTGGTGCATGTCACCTGGGACCTGGAGACTGATCAGGTGCCCCAAGGACTCACAGCGATAACAGATACTGCCTGCTCCAAGACCGTTGCAGGTCTCCCGTGGATCGAGAAGTATGTCAACGAAGCGCAGGCCGTGGGCTTCTCCCCGCCCTTTGTGAACTGTAACGACAATTTCAAGTTTGGCGCTTCCAGAGTCTTCCATGCAACGTATGCGGCAATCATCTCGTTCATGCTGGGCACCCATGAGATTCTTCTGAAGGTATCGATCGTGCAAGGAGATGTTCCCCTTCTGCTCTCCAGGCCGGTGCTCGGGCGTTTGGGAATGGTTCTCGATGTGTCCTCCAACAGTGCCTCTTTTCGGCAGGTGAATGTTTCGGACTTCCCATTGCTGATTACCGAAACGGGACATCCAGCGCTGCCGGTTCACCCTGTCAACGTCTCAGGAATCTCTTCGAAAGTCGAGAGCTGAGGCGATGCCGAGATCAAGACCTATCAGCGTTTCGAGTCATACATGCCTGACCTGTGCGGGAGTGCTGTGGAGATGCCCGAACCCTCTCCTGTACCACAACAATGTTTTATGACCCAAGACGAGCATGTTACAGTCTATCCGCACAACGACCCTCAACCTAGCCTCAAAACCAACCCGGCTATGAGTGCAGAACAACGATTTCTACATGACCTAAAGGCCTTTCAATCTTTACGACTATCACAACAGGGTCTTCATACTCATCATCGAGATCTTGCACAAGAACTTGATCATCAGGCTCATGGACCTCCTCTTCACCGAGATCGTTCATCGATGGAACAAGGCCCCGAGGTCCCTGCGATTGGTTCTCCTTCTTCTGTCCCCAAGAGAGTGTTCTATCCCAAGAAGATTGGCGTAGCTATACGGAACATGTTGAGCCACGACCAGTTCAATGCTACCACTTTTATGTCATGGTGGAATCAGACCAACATTTCCAACGACTTCTGGATAGAAGATGAGCACATTTTCGTCAGAGTACATGTTGTTCCTCGGAAGTACGCTTTCTCCCCCGCAAAGTGGAGTACTAGCAATCATCAACATAAGCATGAGCTCCTCAAAGCCCTTGGGAACATCCGAGTCACCGAAGCTGTAGCTTGCAAGACCTCTCGTGCGTTATCACCAATCAGAGGGACCTGGAGGGATGGCGAGTCCGATGCTGTCTACCCCTGCATGTGGATTGGCCGCACAGTGTTCGCTCGAGCATCTATGCCTGAAGCTAACCCAATTTCCAATTCGACGGTGTCCCATGGCCCCGAAGTCCAAGCTCAACATCGTGATCACCAAGGAGAAGACCCTATGGGACCTCAACAAAGCAGAACTTCTTCAGGAAGCCGCTTCCCGCAACCTCCCAGTGCACCCTTCGTGGAACCTGGAGGAGATTCGCTCGATTGTGCAGGAGGACTGCGCCAAGCAGGACGTGATCCCTCCTGGAGCGAAAGTCCCGCCGGCCCTGGGCAAAATGAGTTTGGACGAGCTCAAGACGGCAGTTCGGGAAGCGGGACTCGAGGTACCACTTCGAGCCACTCGCGGTCTTCTCATGAGGATGCTGCGCGATTCGGTGGAAGGAGCGAGTTCGAAAGTGATGACCTTCGGAAGGCATCGCGGGAGCAAGTACTCCGAGACACCTCAGTCCTACAGGGACTGGGCCATCCGCGAGACGGACGCCAATCCCGGAGCCTCGATGGACCTGGTGATGTTTGCCAACTGGTGCAAGGAAGAGACAGCGAAGCTGGATCCCATCTCCTACCAAGACCCAGAGGCCAGTGCTTCGATACCGTACCAGGCAGAGGAGAGCGGCTACTCCAGCTGGGATCTGATGAGTCGGATGTCAGAGGCGAGGACCAAGGCCCGCGCCAAGGCAGCCGCAGCCACCCCTATAAGGAGTTCTCCACAGAGGCGGACCCTCTCGTCGGCGGCTTCGGCGACAAGCGAGATGAGCCAGGACATCAACCCAGAGACCCTCGAGGAGATCCAGCTGCTCGAGGGGAGACTTGCGGTACTACGAGATCGGCATGGTCTTGCCGAGGAATTCTTTGAATGCGACGAAGGACCCGAGCTCCAGACAGACTGCAAGGAACTGCCCGACAGCGAAAGGAACGGCATCCAGTCGGACTACCTCAACACCCTCGGGAACGAAGGCGGTGCGCGCGAGGACTTTCACGAGGGCATCAACCTTCAGACGAAGTACACGGACGCCCCCACGAAGGAGGACAAGGAGACCTACACGCACGCCCCCAAGAACGAGGACGGGATCTACGGCAACTACTTCGAGGAGACCAACATCCCCTACCAGAGCGACCCAGAGAAAGAGCCTCCGGATCCGAGCACCGAGGTTTGCGACGACGATGTCGGCATCACCGAGAATCCCACCGATGAGTTCGCCCTCCTCGAAGGCGACAGCCCTGCTGAGGTCTACATGAGCGATTCCCCAACGACTACCGAAGAGGCCGAAACCTTTGCGAAGGAGCTCCTCAACAACGAGGCGTTCGACTATGGATCTCTACTTCTTCTCGTTCGTCTTCTACCTCTCAGCAAGAAGAAGAAGCACCGCGACATCGCAGGCGGAAGAGGAGAAGAAATCACTGGGATGACAGCAGGTTTGTGGAGCCACGGAGCCTTTCATGGGCTCACTTCTTCAATGGCGCAGTTCCCGACGGTGATCAAGTACATCAACGCCTTCGCTAGGCACTTTCTTCCGGAACAGACATGGTCTTCGTTTGTCTTAACCCGGAATGTTCAATGTGGACTCCATCGCGATTCTCACAATGCTGTTGGTTCCCGAGTCCATTGCACTTCTTTTGGAGGCTTTGAAGGTGGATCTCTGTGGATTGCTGACAATCGTCCTCTTCCCGATGATCCACCAGGCCACCGACTAGCGTGGAAGGAAACCTCTTCTGGAAAAAGTCTGGCCGGAAGGTATGTGAGCTCCAGAGAATGTTTCTTTTCCTTCGATCCCAAGACGCCCCACGCCACAGGAGATTTCAGTGGCGAACGCTGGTGTATGTCGCTGTATACTTCAAGGTCAATCTCCGAGACCGACCAGACGGAGACGACACGTCTCATCGAGTACGGGTTTCCTCTCCCTCAACAAGTTCCTCCCGTACCTCAAGGCGAGTTCATCAAGAGCATTAAGAAGAGCAAGAAAAGGGGTCTATGGAGACAAGCAAAGCGACTCGCCGCTCTTACGGCTTGGTGTACCACCGCTGGATTCTCTCTGTCTCAGCAAGTGTTCCCTATGTCAAAAGGAGCCGATGCCGTGACAATCTTTGAGATCGGCGGAGATTCCAAGACTGCCGAGTGTGGCGATCTCGGCTTCATTTCGGCCGAACCTCTACTCCCAGATGATCTCCTGAACGATGAGTATGTTACGGATGCTCTTCAAGCTGCTCAGGATTTGAAACCGGCCACCGTGTGGGTCCATGGAGACAAAGTGAGACCTATCTGGTCTCTACTCGACGACTTCCTCGACCATCAGCTCTTCGCCGACAGAGCCATTGTGATCGAAGCCAATGACGATAACCCCTGTTGGGCATCTTCTTGGGCTCATAACATCTGTGCCAATGCAACCTACGACCAGACCGAAGACAATGGGACCAGAATAGTCAAGGCGAACTACATCGACAACAAGCAGGTTCCCGGAATCGACCAGAACCACTCTCGCACTTTTGCCGCTTATGTGACTTCATCTACTACTACAAAACCTACGGCAAAAGGGACAGCCGAGGCCGACGAGCGCGGAAGCAACGCTATCGACTTCGACCCCGGGCCAGAGATCAAAGGAGATGTTCAGTCTTCCCTGAAAAGACTGCATCAAAACCTGGGCCACCCTTCGCGCAACGACATGGCTCGCCATCTTCGACTTGCTGGCGCAGGACCAGAAGTTGTAGCCGCAGCTAAACGACTCCGATGCCAGGTGTGTCAGAGAAACGTCCGAAACAATTCTTCCAGGCCCTCCTCTGCGCCTACACTCCTTGATTTCAACCAGGTTGTGGCAGTGGACGCTTTTTCAGCCTACGACTCCCAGCAGAAGCGTCACGACTTCCTCGCGGCCCTCGATATCGGGACTGGCTTCTGCATGGTAGAACTATTACAAGGGCACAGCACAGAAGCTATGGAGAAGACCTTTGCTTGCATGTGGGCTCATGTGTTCGGAGCGCCAGGAACTCTGGCAGTGGATCTGGAATCCGGGCTTCAATCAGGACTTTCGAGGTTCGCAGAATGGCATGGGAGCCGGATCCGCCCCATCGCGGGGCAAGCGCACTGGCAACAAGGAGCAGTGGAAAGGCTCAATCGGCTGTGGAAAGAAGTCTGGAACAGGATCGTGGACGAGAAGTCTGTTGTTGCCCAGGACGTCCCAATGGCCGTTACAGCCGTGAACTCCGCCCTGAACACTCTACGTCGAGAATCAGGCTTCAGTCCATGTCAAGCTGTGATGGGCCGAGATCCTCGGCTTCCCGAAGATCTACAAGGAGGCCCGCACGACGAGCACGTTGAGGAGGTGATCACACGAGACCGGCAGAGAGCCCGAGAGCATGCTCTGCGGATCGCTGCGAAGGAGGCATACTTCAAATGCCAGTCCGACTCCAAAGTACGGAGAGCTCTTCTTCATCGGTCCCGTGTAGCCGGGCCCGAACTGTCAGCAGGAGACCACGTGTATTTCTACCGCAAGCCTAAGAATAAGAAGCATTGGTTGTGGTTCGGTCCGGCGGTGGTGATTGGACATGAAGGCCCCAATCTCTGGTTGAGCTACTCCGGGAGGTGCTATCTCACGGCCCCAGAGCATATCAGGAGAGCTACAGCGGAAGAGATAGGTACGGCTTTTACAATGCGGGCTACGGAAGACGACTTGAACCGCCTTCTGGAAGTCGACTACGAGGACCCTGAGGCCCTGGACATCGATGAAGAAGGAGACGTGACCCTGGACTCCCAAGAGAATCCAGCCGATCTTCGAGGGCAAGTCAGGGCCCCTTCATCTGCAGCCGCGGCCGCCGCTCCGGTGACCAAGCGCCACCGGACAAAAGGTCCACAGTCCGATTCCGCCGAACCCCTCGGCGACACTCCTATGGCAGCCGAAGAAGATATGGTCCACAGCGCTAACATGGTAAAGCTCCCCAAGACAGCCCGTGGGAAAGAGAAGGCCCTAGAGAAAGAGATCCCTTGGCAGGCCATTCCCGAGGACCAGAAGGAAGCCTTTGTCAGCGCTGAAAAGAAGCAATGGTCGGAACATGTCAAGTACCACGCACTCGAACCTCTCAGCATTGAACAAAGTCGCCAGGTCCTACGCGACAAGCCAGAACGAGTTCTACCCAGCAGGTTCGCCTACAAGGACAAAGCTTGGAGCAAAAGGAAACTCGACAGCAACTGCCCCTGGCGACCCAAGGCACGGCTAGTGATCGGAGGACATCGTGATCCTGATCTAGACAAGGGACTCCCGTCCGATGCGCCTACAATTTCTCGTCAAGGAGTGCTGCTGTTGTTGCAAGTGCTCGCCAGCAACTTGTGCAATGGCTGGCAAGGTTTCGCTGGCGATATCACAGCGGCCTTTTTGAGTGGCCGGGATCTACAACGAGAACTATACCTTCGTCAACCAAAGTCCGGACTGGGAGAACTGCACCCAGAACAGTTGATCAAGATTCGCAAACCAGTCTTTGGATTAGTCGATTCCCCAGCAACCTGGTGGTCTACCTTGCAAGAGACCCTGAAGTCCCTCGTCTTCACCGACGACGATGGAGTGAGGTGGAGAGTTTGTCAATGTCCGCTCGATCACTGCATTTTCACAGTGCAGGAGGTGAAGGTCACGAATGGAGAAGAAATTCTTGGCCCTCCTCAGGCCTACCTCGGAGTGCATGTGGACGATATCCTGATGGTGGGCAATACCAAACTTTGTCGGTTGGTCCAGCAAAAGTTGGGAGAACATTTTCCCATCGAAGAATGGGAAACCGGCTCCTTCGAGTACGTGGGATCCTTTGTGGAGGTCGGCAACGATTCAGTTAAGATCTCCCAGTCGAGCTATGTGGGTTCCAGACTTTTCGAAGTTGAAGTTCTTCCGCACCAAAGGGACTTCGACCCCGCCACGGAGACCCAGCTCCACGACAACCAGTCCCTGGTGGGAGCTCTTTCGTGGCTTGCCAGCCAAAGCCGGCCCGACCTACAGGCTTCCGTTTCAATGTGTCAGCAGTGCCAACGGTCCCCATTGGTCCAGGACATCCGCTTCAGCAACCAGGTGGCTAAGCGCGCGATGGAGCACCGCGACGAAGGGATTGTTCTTCATGCTGTACCTCTTCAGCGAGCAGTGCTTTTGTGCTACCACGACGCTGGATGGGCGAATGTTCCGCAGGACGAGGGCGACCCCGTCTACAAGTTGAACGACTACGAGAACGAGGCCGGGCTCATCAAGGAAGTTCTTGGAGACACTTCTGACAGGGCGCCTAGCCAATGAGGGCAGTAGAATGGTGGAAAGTCTTGAAAGAGGGTTTAAAGTTGACGTTCAAGGAGGTCGAAGACGTTTTGGACCAGTGTAAATCTATGAGTGTCTGCAAGCAGAACGACCTCCTGTCAACCCCTTGATTCAAGGACTTGCGTCGTCCGAAGGCGCATGTGTTTTGGCTTCAGCAAAAAGACCGTCGCGAGTCTTCAGAAGCCCTTAGTTCTAGACTAAACCCTAAACCCTAACCCCTAAACCCTAAACCCTATACCCTAAACCCTAAACCCTAAACCCTAAACCCTAAACCCTAAACCCTAAACCCTAAACCCAAGCCTTAACTCGAGCCCCTGACTCTTTGGTCCGCTCTGGGCGCCCGGCGTGAGGCACCGCAACAGCGGAGGGCGCTTGGGAGGAGAACACGAGGCACATGCTACCTCAGAGGGAGTGGGGGTTAGGGTTCAGGGTTTAGGATTTTTGAACGGGGTGTTTAGGCTTTAGGGATGAGGGTGTAGGATTTTTGGGGGGAGTTTAAGGTTTAGGATTTGCGGGGGGGTTGAGGGGCGGCGTTGATTTTGAGGGCATGTAGACTAGACCGTTTCTTGGGCGAGGAGCTTCTTTCCGCTCGCCCTGGCAATGAGGGCTGAGGATTGGGTTTGGGGTTTAGGGGGGTTCAGCTAAACCCTAAACCCTAAACCCTAAACCCTAAAGGCTGTTGCTGCGTGTCCAGCCTTGAATCGCTTGCCTTTGGAGGGTTCAGGGTGCAGTGGAATTCTGAAACAGGAGCCTTACTGAGTAGAATAGAGTTTTGGTGTATTCTCTAGTTCAAATATATTGCGGAACCCTAAAGAATAGTATTGCTATTTGTCCATGTCTTGATATTGCACTGTCTGCGAGATGGCAGAGCACATAACACAGCATGTTGAGAAAATGCCACAAAAGCACCCTAAACCCCAAACCCACAAAACGAGACCCTAAACCCAAAACCCTGAACCCTAAACCCACTCTTAGCCCCCAAGAGCGGATGGATCCTGGTTGGGGCGGATGAGGGCCCAACAGAGGCTCCCCCAAACTCGATATGGCCCACCCGCCTCCGGGGTGCCCTGTCGATTCAAGGCTTAGGGCGTATAGGGCTTTAGGGTTTATGTAGGGTTTGAGGTTAAGGGTTATAGGGTTTGGGACGGTAGCATCAGTATACTGAGAAAGCCTCAGGAACATCATTCGTTTGAATCTGGGGCGCCAGGACAACTACGGCCTCGAGGCACTAGGAACACTCTTGAATAGGATGGTTGGCTGGAAGGATAAACCCTAAACCCTAAACCCGGATGGGTGGGTGGATGGATGGATGGGTGGATGAGTCCAAGTCTGGATGTGGCAGTTTAAAACATATTGCTTTAAGCAACAAAACATGCGAAAATCGGAATAGGGTTTAGGGTGTTGGGTACTGGGTTGGAGTTTCTTTACGACTTCGGGTTGTGGGGCCGTAGGGTTTGAGGGCTTTTCGCTTTAGGGTTTGGGAATTCTGGGTAGATTCCTGGGGCTCAAGGCTAAGGTGGTCGCAGGGCAACAGCAGGTGCGAATTCCCAGTGTCCTCGGCACCCCTATAGGGAGCTCAAGTTGAGATAAAGCCAAAGACCATAAGCTCCCAACACCACTACAAGCCCTAAACCCTAAACCTAGAATCGCTGAAGCAAGGGAGCCTCCTTTGGAACTGGGTCTGAGCTGAAAGTCGAATTTTGCGCCCACTCGGAACCTGTGGCTGCGGATGGCTGGTTCATGTACGACTTTAGATGTTTCAGGTTTAAGCGTTCTGAGATCAGATCTGCAATGGGGGATTCGAACCGAACTACTATATCCGACCGTTCCACCTTTCAGGCCTCAAACCCATAAAGCTTCCCTCATCTAGGAGCCGTAATGATTAGAACAAGATTTCGAGGTACAATTTGCTACAGATGTAGTATCGCCAGAATTTGGGTCCCAAAGAAACTACTGCTAATTCCTATAGGCCCTATTCTCTAAACCCTAAACCCCCTAAACCCCTAAACCCCAAACCCCCTAAACCCCTAAACCCTAAACCCCCTAAACCCTAAACCCCCTAAGCCCTAAACCCTAAACCCCCTAAGCCCTATACCCCCAAGCCTACAACCCCCCGTCTGGGCGCGAGACTGCCCAGGGAGCCCGGCAGCAGAGCCCCAGTGTGAACCCAGAGCCATCCTCGTCTCTAAAGCTCCAAATGAAAGGTTCTGGGTTTGGGGTTTAGGGTTTTAGGGTTTAGGGTTTACACGGGTTTAAGGGTTTAGGGGTTTAGGGTTCTAGGTTTAGGGTTTAGGGTGGTTCTGGGCTTCAAGCTTGGGCGTTTTTCAGGTCTTAGAGTTGCCACTAGGGGCGAATTGGGTTTAGGGTACGGGTTTATGGCTTTTTCAGGCTTAGGCGGTTTGGGATTAAGGCTCTATAGGTAGACTCTGGGTTCGAGAGAATCTGGTGCCGGGATGCTCAGGAGTTATTGGCAGCAGTTGTGACATGTGAACCTTATACCCTATACCCTGAACCCTAAGCCCTGAAGGGGTTAAGCGCCCTGAACGCCGCTACGTAAGAAGCCGCGGCTTAGAAGTCATTCGTGCGTGAGATATCTGCTCAGATCAAGGAAGTCTTCAGTTGTGGTGGCGCGAAACCCCTGCTTGCGAGATACTGAACTTCTTAAGGCTCCGATGCTACTTGTAGGTTCATGGGTAGTTTATAAGTGGGGTTATAAGTACGGTAACCATACTTATAGCCCTTATTCGGAGACTTATAACCCCACTTATAACCCTAAACCCTAAACCCTAAACCACCCATGAACCTGCAAGTACCCTGAACTCCCATCCCGAAGCCCATGGAGCGCCTTCTACCGTCGCCCGGTGCTGCAATGCGGAGCTCTCCTGGGGGATCGTCTGGGGGCTCTGGGCTTCAGCCAATTTTTGAGAATTGGGGGGTTTCCGAAACCAGGGGTATCTTATTTTTGGGATCCTTATAATAAGGTTCCTACTATTTAGGGTACTATATTAAGGTCTCCTATTCTCGGAAACTCCCAATTTCTGTCCGTCTGCACGAAAAGGCTAGAAACCCACATGGGACCACTGATAAAAAACCCTAGAGAACCCTGCCGGTAAAAAGGCCCAAAGAGCTGTAGTGAAGGAGATCTATGCGAAGGCTACGACGAGAGTCACCAGTCCAACCAGCGTCAGCATCGCCACCCTCCTACCCTCCTCAGCCTCATCACCATCATCATCTGCATCCCTTTGAACTCATGTCACCATCATCATACTCGTTATCGTCTTCATCACCATCTTTGCCATAACCACCGCAGCCCAAAAGTGACTAACATCGACATGATAGCATTAGCCGAATGAGGATGGGAATGAGAAATGCCATGATACTGAGACTGACAACTGGCAAGGGAGAGCCAACCGGGACGCAGATGCTTTGGACAAACATCTGTCGATTTCCTGCCGTCCGAACAACTTCCCGAACCAGCCGCAACAAACATGAGATCAGCAGCATCCCAAGTGTTATCCAAGCTCTTAGGCACGGAGATTTTCCTCCGCTACCCCAAACCCGACCCTAAACTCCTACAGCACACCAACTTGCAGGCGTCTCACTACTTAGAACAGGGTTTTAGGCATAGCCTGCTGTAGTTGTAGTAACCCTGACGAACAATATCGGCAACTAAGCAAGGTTCCCTAAACCCCCAAACCCTCAACCGGTTCTACTTGGAGGTTCATGGGTAGTTATAAGTGGGGTTATAAGTCCCCTAATACGGGCTACAAGTATAGTTACCTTACTTCTAACCCCACTTATAACTACCCATGAGCCTCCAAGAAGGCTCTAAACCCTATACCCTTTATAGAATCCCTATAGACGCCTTTAAAGGGAGCCTAAACCCTACCCATGAGCCTCCAAGTACATGCAGCCCTGCGCCCTGCACCCTCTCCCGGCCCCCCGCCTCGTTGGCGACCACCGCAGCATTGGAGGCCTTGCGGAGAGGATCATTGGACTTAGTAAGTAGGTTCCTTAAAGGGCTCCTTAAAGGGATCTATAGGGGTTCCTTAAAGGGATCTATGGGGTTTAGGGTTAAAGAACCCTAAGCCACGGTTTAGGGTTTAGGGTTTAGGGCTAAACCTTAGGTACGGCCCCCATACAGCAAGAGTCTATAGTAGGGCTACTATTAAGGTCCTACGATATCTATATTCTGAATATTATTCAACTATTACTGAGCGGGGGCCGTACCCAACCTAAACCTTTAACCCTAAACCCAAAACAAACCCGGATTCCTAAGGAGGACGAACGGTTGAGGGTTGAGGGTTCAATGCTTCCAGCTCATGGTCGAGATCGTACCAAGAGTTTACATGTTTATTCCTTACCGGTTTTAAACAGGAATAAAAATGTAGAATGCAACCAACTATGACAAAGGCTGGTGGTTCGATTTTGGGGACCTGAGGGACAAGATTTTGCGGCTCAGGACGGTGATTTCGACGATGTCAGACCTCCGAGCCGGGCACTGTGACCTGTTTACGGAAGCTCACCTATACCAAGAGTAACCCAGGAACAAACAGGGTGCCCCTTTTTTTTTGGGCTTAAAGGGGCTTTTTAGGAACCTGGACCCTAAAAGAAGGGAAGTAAGGGCCTACTCTAGGTCCGAGTCACAAAAGCATTAAGCCTTTCCCAGGATAACCCGATCCTTGCGAGACTCGGCCGCAAGATAAGCATCTGTCGCTGCCCCGATTGGGCCTGCCAATGAGATTGCTGACACGCGATCCCTAAATTACTAAACCCTAAACTCCCCTAAACCCCTAAACCCCTGAACCCTAAACCCCTAAACCCTAAACCCCAAACCTAAACCCCAAACCCTAAACCCTAAATCCTAACAGGGTTTCAGGTTGCTGGGAGATGCTAGACATGTCGGGATCCCAGGGCTCGACGCGACGAATCCCTACCAATACCCAGACCCCCCTTGAAAGATCTGGAAAGTAGATCCCTTA